CTCCGGGGATAGAGCTTCCTGACGAAGCGTCCGGGTCTCGGGGAGACCGCCTCAGAGGCGAAGCTCGAGTCGAGCTCGCGGTCTCACGGTGTGTCGCGTGTGATGTCGAGGGTTCCGTCATGGTAGGTGCCTAACACACAATACAATCTAGAAACCCACGTATTCGTGGTATGAAGTGTAAAAAAGTGTAATGATACGGGTGTCGCCTGATTCACACAAGTCCAAAGTACACTGAACCAATCTCTAGATTGAGAGGGCGTATACTATGGTGGACGTGGTGAAAGGCTGAGAAGCCTTCGCCACGTCGCGCGGATCCAGATGGATCAGCGCCGATCACCATGACGATCCAGATTTAGATACAAGATGTAGATTAACTATGTAGATAAGATAAGGTAATGAACGATCCGTTACAATATCATTATACAATGTAACGTCGCGCATGTCTTCTCTGCAGGGCACGGCCACACCGCGCTCTACCTAGACCACACCAAGGTCACGAAATACGTCGCACTCGAGCCGAACGTCCTCATGCACCCCGAGATTCGCACTACCGCGGCCAAGAAAGGGTTTACAGAAGAGGCCGGCACGCTCCTCATCCTGCCCTACGGAGCCGAGCAGATCTCCCTGATCGCGTCTGCCCTCGGGGGCGCACATGCCGTTGACACTCTTGTCTCGATTCTCTCGCTCTGTTCCATCCCCGATCCCGAGCAGACACTGCGCAGGCTCGTCAACGACGCGCTCAAGCCTGGGGGAACGCTGCTGTTCTATGAGCACGTTTTGAGTCCGAGGGAGGACGTCGCGAGGTGGCAGCGATTCTGGGCCCCGGTTTGGGTCTATATCATGGACGGGTGTCGCATCGACCGCCCGACACATGTGTGGATCGAGAAGATAGACGCGTGGGCGGAGGGAAGTGTGTGGGGAAAGGAGGGCGAGCCAGAGGAGCATCTGTTCTGGCATCGTGTTGGGCGATATGTGAAGAAGGATGATTGATGACGCGCTTTCCTCCCCGCTTCATTCGCGATATGTTCCATAACATATATATGTACTGCCTATGTGCTACTTGAGTTGCATTGTTCAAAGATGTTCGGATCGTCGGTGACGTGCTTCTCGTCAGAAGTCAAGGCGGGAACCTGCGACTCGTCGAGTGGTGACCGGAGTGAGTCACGTGTTGGACCGCAATGATCGCGTTTCGTCACCTCCATGAGGGACAAAGTTGGGCATACCAAGAAGATGTATTCATTCTCGCTGCTGAGAGAGAGTTCCAGTAAACCCTGTACAAAGACGACATAGTCGAGGTCATCGAAGCGCTTGAGCGCCTACCTTCGCTGGCGCACAAAACAGATTGAGCCAAACAACTCAAATCGGACTTCGCCGCCGAGAGGCGATCACAGACTGTTCAGTTCGCGACTACTCCTTGTTGTGTTCTCTGTGGGCTTGCTCTGACTTTTGTCTGCTGGCTTCCTAATAGTCCTTACTAGCAGCATTGGGTTCCTCTGGTACTTCGGTGCTCAGGAGCTACTGCCAGAGTCTCGGGAAGCTACTGTGGGGTGCTGCTCGCTAGGATCGTGTGGACTCGACGATTCTTCTCACCCTCACTATTTACCCGGACGGTAGCTCTATGGTTTTGCTAATGGGGTGCGATTCGAGGCAAGGCATACCCCTGTTACGGTCGCTGGGAGCTTTGGCTGATCAACGTCGACATGGCGTCGCTCATCACAGACTGCGTCATGCCGTCTGTAGTGGGGACTATCTAAGGCCATCGGTGAGCTGTCCACCTACCTCCATGCAGTGCATGCGACACATACCTACATATGTGTCGTCGCATAGGGTTGCACATACGATGTTGTTCCATCCGGCTGCTGGAAGGATGGTACAAGGTATTGGTCCAGACGTCGGAAGTGGCAAGGTTTTTAATTGGTTTATCATACCTTCTGGTTTTGTCGCAATGGCGTGCGGAGGGCACCTTCTCTTGCTGGAGGGATGATCTCAGCGCTAACGGTTAACGTAATATGAGCGGGAGCATCCTCAACTCGATTTCGCGGGACTTCTCTTCCTCCATATCTGTCAGTATATTCTTACCGGAACATGCTGACATCTGTCTATATGCTCATAAACGAGAGGATATGAAGCGACCAGGAGCTTGAATCTACACAGACCGGTCACTGAACGGCAAGTCGCAAGGGAATGTTTATCTTTAAACAGTCCGGTCATAAGGTCCTGTCTAGACTGGGGGAAAAGACGTGTAGTGTTACATAATACTGACGTTCTCATGAGGTCTGGAAAAGACTTTTCTCGATTTTGGAAGCCGGATATGGACCACGCAGTGTCGGATGAGCGACGCGTCATTCAATGTTCGAAATGGCAAACGTGGAACAACATGGTTCAAATTTGAGGGTCATTGGCGTCCCCATTGACATCGACGGAGGGGTATGCATCTGAGTCGGGTAAGGGCCCGGGGGGGATGTGATGAGCCTGGTAGGGTTGCATGCAGGTGAGGCTACGAGCTCTAACATTTGGCAAGATGATTTGTATCTCGGTTTGGCGCGCTGGCCATCTGCACCTTTTGTTTGTTGATCAGAATCTAATTTTTCCTCATCTTTTGTGAGCTGCGGGGGTGAACTTATGCATGCATGGTGGAGCGGCCGACCGACAAGTAGATTTGCTGTCCATCAGTATGCCAGGGCCCTATAGTGTAGCTACTGTGATGTTCAGTACATATGAAATCTTGACTTCAAGTCAAGTAGTAGAGACGAATTGATTTGCATCTTTTGCGGAATCCCATGGTAGGAAATTAGGGTTAACCACACGTTCAGGGCTCTGGTGTTCTCGTCTCGCATTTGTCAGCATGCGCACCTTCATCAATCGGCGCTCGCACAACTGGACCTTGCGATTGGTCGATTGACGGTCTGGGTTATCGGAACAATGTGTTCCCATGGATGAGCTGGCGGCTGTTGTCACAGGACATCGTACTGTGACCGCAGAGACCACGTATATTCGTAAGCCAGACGTCGCTCAAGTTTCTCCCCCCTCCTTCACCACTCTTGTACCCTCATGAATTTCACGGTTTCATTCGATATCGTGGGGCAAGTCAAAGCTGCCATCCAGGCGGCCTTCCTGCCAACCCTGATTGCGCTCCTGAGGGATCCCATCCTCCTTATCCGACCCCATGAAGTTTTGCGCATCATCATGGCCCATGTCTGGAGGTTGTACGCCGATGCAATTGATGACAATGCTCGTCCCACCAAGGAAAAGCTGCTCCCGGCTAATTGTTACGGTGTCCGAGTCCTCCACATCGGAGCCGGTACGTATCCTGCGTCTAATCACTGGGTTGTTCTACTAGTACGTAACACTGACCTTCCATACAGGCCACGGACAGACGGCTCTCTACCTCGACCCCACCAAGGTCACGAAGTACGTCACACTCGAGCCAAACACCTTAATGCACCCCAAGATTCGCATCACCGCAGCCAAGAACGGGTTCACGGAAGAGACCGGCACGCTCCTCATCCTCCCATATGGCGCCGAGAAAATCTCCCTTATCACGTCCGCTCTCGGGGGCGCACATGCCGTCGACACTCTCGTCTCAATCTTCTCGCTCTGCTCCATACCCGATCCCGAGCAGACCCTGACCGCGTTTGTCAACGACGTGCTCAAGCCTGGGGGGACGCTGCTGTTCTACGAACATGTTTTGAGTCCAAGGGAGGATGTCGCGAGATGGCAGCGATTCTGGACCCCCGTATGGGTCTATATCATGGACGGGTGCCGTATGGACCGCCCTACGCATTTGTGGATCGAGAATATGGACGCATGGGCAGAGGGAAGCGTGTGGGGGAAGGACGATGAGCCTGAAGAACATCTGTTCTGGCGGCGGGCCGGACGGTTTGTGAAGAAGGATGATTGACAGGATGGACGCCCTTTCATCTCATCCCTTATGTGATCTATGATATGGATGTGCAGGATTTGTACTGGGAATGTGTCGCTCAAAGATTTTCCGATTGTGATTGTCGGCTGGGTGGCTTTTGTCGGAGGTCAAGCTTAGGCGTCTAGGCGGGAATGTCCGACGTGCTGAGTCGCGTGCTGAGTCGTCAGGTAACTTGAAGCACTCACTTATGTTCGAACTGGCAAATAGTACTTATAGATGAGCATGGGTTCGAGAAGGTGAATACAATCTACATGCCCTTCCTGCAGAGTGTTTACAATTGCACGCAACTGGATACGTAGCCATGAATGCACGCAGTCGCG